GTGTATAAGAGACAGCAAATGCAGAGTCAGAGCTATTTGCATATTAAGGATTATTGGAGTAAGACTCTTGAGTTGATATGATCTTAAAATGAACGGCAAGTTTCCTGCAATGTTCTAACCGTAAATACTTGTCTGATTACATAACACATTCTTCATTTGTAACATAAATTGTGTTCATGTTGATGTTCAGAGGATAAATGCTTCGTAGACTAATAATAATAATAATAATAATTTATCATAAATAGCATTAATTATGTTGATGTTGATGTTCAGAGGATAAATGCTTCGTAGCATAATAATTCATCATTTGTATCATTAATTGTGTTCATGTTGATGTTCAGAGGATGTTCAGCGCGTGGCTGAACACGCACTTCATCTACGAGGAGGGTGAGAAGAGACGAGTGCCTGTACGTAGCAACAGTACACCCAACACCTGTACCCATAGCACCTGTACCCCCAACACCTGTACCCCCAACACCTGTACCCCCAACGTCTGTAGTGCCAGTCTCCTGCTCTGCGGACCCAGGGACGCCGTACTGCCTCCTGCTGGCGAGCTGGCCCCCTGTGACAGTAATTTCAACAGGTGCTTTTACCGTCGTATGTCTCTCTCCTGGAACATAACTTTTAAATTATACATAAATGTTAATCAACTGGTGCTCTTATGTACTTTGTTTAGGTGCTCTAGGTGCTCTTATGTACTTTGTTTAGGTGCTTTTACCGTCGTATGTCTCTCTCCCTGGAACATAACTTTTAAATTATACGTAAATGTTAATCAACAGGTGCTCTTATGTACTTTATCTGCTGAGGCCATACTTCCAAAACTCGCTCTAGTAAACGCAGCGGCCTATGTACCCGGGCGTACAATTTCACGTCTGTAATTGGTTTAGCTTGACAAGCCGTCAGTGATTGTCTGTCGGAACTGCGTAACTTTTTTCGAATGCGTTGCCATTGTGCTGCGTTCTCTCTGCCTTTTCTCAAAGGCAATGTCCCTCCTGGTCTCTGTGGCAGTTACCTTTGGGGTTTTACCTTTTTGCTATCTCTGCTCGATAAAGTGCAGAGGAAATTCTAAGTTGCCAATTCATTTTTCCTAATCTAGTTACTGTTTTTAGCGCATTTTTTCATTCATGGAAAAAATGCACTATTGTGCACGCCATGTCCGTCTGTCTGTCCGTCCGTCCGTGACCTCAAGTTTTCGTCGACGAGAAAATGCGCTCTCTGTCACTCACTGCAGTGAGTACTGAGTTATATTTTTTTCTAAATGGCCCGGTTTTCGTTTTTTATATCGAATAATTTTGTATTTGTGTATATTTTACGAGCAATTGTTTGTCTGATACTGCCGATAGTTTTTTTAGTCACTAACGATGGTTTGTCTGGTCCTAACGATGGTCTCTCTAGTCCTAACGATGGTCTCTCCAGTCCTAACGATGGTTTGTCCAGTCCTAACGATTGTCTCGCTAGTTTTAACGATGGTTTCTTAAGACCCGATGATGGTTTTTTTAGTCCCTAGCGATGGTTACTGAGACGCAACGATGGTTTGTCCAGTCCTAACGATGGTCTCTCTAGTTTTAGCGGTGGTTTCTTAAGACTCAATGATGGTTTTTTAGTCCCTAACGATGGTCTCTCTAGTTCTAACGATCTTGTCTCTAGTTTTAGCGATGGTTTCTTAAGACTCAATGATAGTTTTCTAGTCCCTAACGATGGTTACTATGCCTGAAATGTCGCCTGCCGAGCCCTCACGACGTCTTCTTTCCCTTCAGGAGCTTAACGCACGCGAGCGCCGGGACGCTGTCGCCCAGCTCCTTGGACAAGCTGGGCCCCAGCGGGGGGCAGCGGGCCCTGCCTGCGCCTCTACAGTATTCCAGGTGCGCCCCCTTGCCCCCTACAGTGTTGCTGGCACCCCCATTTCCCCCCCCACCTGTCTCTTATACACATCTAGATGTGTATAAGAGACAGTGATATATCCTACATAATTCAATAATGAATTTAATTTCATTTGTGNCTGTCTCTTATACACATCTAGATGTGTATAAGAGACCCCCCTTGCCCCCCACAGTGTTGCAGGTGCCCCCATGCCTTCTACATTATCGCAGGTGCCCTCCATTGCCTCCTACATTATAGCAAGGATTACATTATAGTTAGGATTTCTTCAATCTACTCAATTAATCTTGATTTGGCCGTTGAATATAACAATTCGTGGTGAATCCTGATGAGTATACAAGAATATTTGTGGTGTTTCTTTCTGCTCTAACTTTGACGTACGTTCACCCTCGTATCGATGCGTGTGACGTACGTCTTATTATGACACGTCTTCTCTTTGAATGGACCGTTCACTTCATCAAACTGCCCCGGCCGCCTTCGCCATATTATTTTTAGCGATTTAACCCTCTACCCCCCGACATGATCTACCGGAGCCTACTTCTCAAAAAGAATATGTTGCTAGTGAGCGCAAAATGACTTGCACTGATGGTTGCCGCCACGTACAACTTTAAAATGTTCTCGGTAGCGTATAAACGTCCTCAAGTTGCTACACTCTATAGTTTACGTATAATTTAAGATGAAAGTTATGCTCCCGGGGCTATATACTTTCAAAAAAAGTTAAGAGATCGTAAGTTCATCAGCCAATCATTGACGGCCTTTCAAGCAAAATCCACCAATCATAGACAAGAAAATAGAGCGTAAGTACTTACGTTCACTATACTTTCAAAAAAGTTAAGAGATCGTAAGTTCATCAGCCAATCATTGACGGCCTTTCAAGCAAAATCCACCAATCATAGACAAGAAAATAGAGCGTAATTAAATACTTACGTTCACTTAGCGAGTTTTGAAAGTATGGCCCCTGGAAAGTGACATACGGCGGTAGAGGGTTGATTAAATTCGATTGCCGATGTCCATAAGTGTCCGCTTTGCCATTTCCGAGATTTGCGGGAAAAATTACATTTAATATCTTCAATTCTCTCATACTATTTTCACTTCTATTTCAAAATTCTCTATTTTGAAATAGTATTATACTCTTAATAATATTTCAAAATTATCTTATACTATTTTCAAATCACACGCTGCCTTCATCCTTCATTCATTTCCAGCTTTCATCCTGCATTCATATTAGCCTTTACAATTCACAACTGAACCCTGAGCATAATTCATAATTGAACCCTTTACAATTCATAATTGAACACAGCAGGCGCGTGTCGCCGCCGCCAGAGACCGACCGTGCTTCTCCAACCCGTAGTCCTGCACGAAGAAAAATTGATAAATGGTCACATAATTATCGAACAGCGAAAAATCAACTAGAAGGATCTGGATTATCATTTCCTGCCAAGTCTTATAGTCTCGACGAAACTCATAAATTGCCAACGACGTTGGACTCGTCAGCGAATAAAAAAGATGCCATCCAAGTGCCTCCTCGAAGCATCAGTTGCGAGGAAACAAAACTCATGCAAATTCTCAGGGGCAGATTGGCGCCCCCTCAAGAACATGTCATCAACGAGTCTGATTTTGAGAATTTAACAAAATGTTACCATCAGCAAAGTGGTTCTCAGGAATCTTCCGCGCGAGCATCTCATTCTCCTTCCGTTTCCTTTGATTTGGCTCCTAAATATGATTCTGATACTGGAGTTAACGGTGACGGCTATCAGAATTATGGCAAACGTGGAAAACTTTGTAAAAAGTTCGCATCATCTTGGTTCATCAGATCTCGGTCATCTTCTCCTGTGTCTCTAGCTGACGCTAAGTCTTCTTTAACTGGCGAGTCGAAAATGAACAAAACTCGCTTCCCACTTTGGTCAAAATCTTGCAAGTTATCATTGAGTAACCAGTCTTCTAGATCCCATCCCAACCTAAAGATGATTACTAAGACATCTGGCCCACGTGTCGCTCTACCACCTTCCGTACTCGCTCTGCGTCCATCAGAGTCCGATTCAAAAATTCTCCACAAACTTGTTGCGAACGAAAACTCTGTGTCATTGCCTTGTTCTCCTCTCGAAGAACGTCTGCCAGAACTGGAAAAGAGCGCTGAATCTCGTTCTTCGGAAACATCTTTTGGAGCTACTTTGAAAAATGAACATTTAAACTCGTCTACTTCTAAATCACCGTCAAGTCCTTCCGCGAAACCGAAAAAATCTGGCCGGAAACGTCGCAAAAAAGGCATGATGCTCATACATTCGCCCATTTGCACTTCAATGGGGCCCGCTAATTCGCCTTCAGTGCGATCCCATTGCCAGGAGTTGGAAGTTCCAAGAAGAAATAAAATTTCTGAAGGTGAACGAGTTTGCAGACATTCAATCACTTGCGCAAAGAGTCCTTATCTCTCAGAATTTGTTCATGAGAGCCCCGCGCGATGCGAGTGTTTCGGCTGGAAAAAGCGCTCCCTGCCTTGCCCGAAGTGTAGTCTGGAGTATCAAGTTTGGCTCCAGCAGACTCCGAAAACTTCGGTCGAGCGGTCGTTGAGTTACTTCAAGAGTGATGCTTCAACGATGGATTCGAACAAGAAGCTGCCTTGTTCTTGCACCCATGAGGCGTATTATCGCTGTGTTAAATGCAAATGTGCTCATTTTACAGCACAAGCTGTAGCTTCTTCAGCTGCCCCATCACACATCGGTTACACCACTGGTAAAAGCGCGTCAGCGTCGGCCGTTGTGTGCAGGAAAGTCCATGAAAACTCGAGTAAAATCCTTCTCCAGCCCGACAAGCCCGACAAAAAAATCAAGAATCGGAGTCTCAGTTTGAAATTAGAAGACGTCTCACGCAGCGTTCATGAAGCTATGGAAAGAACCATTACGAGCCCAAAGTCATGGCGAAAATCTAAGCTTGGAGTTTCCATTTTTGGACCTGCCAACAAGCAGGTTGACTCGCCTGATGAAAAGCAGAAAACTGCTTTTGCGATGTCTGATTCCGATGATGAAGGACGCTTTTGGAGTTTCAAACTGAGTCGTGGAAAATCTACTGATAGATTAATTGCGAAGGAACAAAATTGCAGTACTTCAAATGTGTTGAAATTGGATGCCATGGCCCGAACTGCTGGGACTTCTGTACGTACGCAGAAAGACGAAGAAAATTCTGCTCGTTCTCTTCCCGATGAACATCCATCGGTCAGTGAGAAGAAAGGAAAATTAACATCAATGGCGTCATACACTAAGAGTGACAATTCTGTGTACGAAAAATTGAAGAATCCGACAACTGATTCTGACGAACCTGCTCGCCGAACGAGAAAAGTGTCTTGCCCCTCGATGCACTCGCCTCTGCCTTTTGCATCAGATAACCGCCTTCGTGATCCCACACTACCTGAAGATACAGTTATTCTCGACCCGGAGGCAGACCTCGACATAAATTCCGAGCCCCGAGGCAGGAGTTTCGCTCGCCTCTTTCACAGACGCAAGAGCCAAACATCTATGACCGTTTTCAAGAAGAATATTTATGGTGATCTTAAGTCTTCTGACAGAGAAACTGGCCATTACGAGCATTCCTCGAGAACGTCTGGCAGGATGGGAAAACAACCTCTGTTGAAATTGAGTCCCACTCACGTAAAATGTGCAGAGATTCAGGAGCCAACAGTTGAACTCGATGTTGGGTTGACATGTGGTAGCCCAGATTCTGCCACTTCATCTAAACCATTCATTTTAGGTAAGCCAGAGGACAACATTCCTCCAGACCAAGAAGAGAATCAGTTATCCACTGATACAACAACAACAACGTTAACAACTTTGCCACATTGTGAGACTCTAATTACGTATGATTCATCAACGAACTTTTCGTGCAAATCAACTACGAGTGATGCGTTAGAAAATGATGAGAATGAAACGAATGTTGGAAGGACGCTCCCTCCTTCCCTGAACGCTTCTTCATCGCACTCTGCCTCTTCACCGACGGGTAGTCCGGTAGATCCGGTAGGGATCTACCGGAAGTCCGGTAGTCCGGTAGGAATCTACTGGAAGTCCGGTAGTCCGGTAGGAGATGTAGAAGTCCCTACATCTCCTTGCCCTTCATCTAAACGAGACTGCGTTCATGAATTAAAAAGCGTTTCTGGAGGCACGCAAGACATGGCCTTTACTCATGGCATCATGAGCTCTAGGACGCACTACAAAAAACCTTCTCATGACGTTGACTGTGCCTGTTATGGACATGACTTGGTCATGTCAGAAGTCAGTGGACATCGCACCCCGCTGAACATGAGTACCACTGAACATGAGCTCCCCGCTGTGTCTTGTACGTCGTGTGGGCACGTCGTTTCTACGTCGTCGTCAGCGTAAGATGTGTGCCTCATCGTCCTTAACGTCGCGTGGTCATTAACTTCCCGTGATCATTAACTTCGCGTGGTCCTTAACTTCGCGTGGTCATTAACTTCACGTGATCCTTAACTTCGCGTGATCATTAACTTCGCGTGATCATTAACTTCACGTGATCATTAACGTCGCGTGATCATTAACTTCACGTGATCATTAACGGTGCGTGATCATTAACTTCGCGTGATCATTAACTTCGCGTGATCGCGTGATCGCGTGATAGTGACACACTTTTAACATGATGCTTCGATACGCACATTTGCCGCGTTAAAATGGGTTAGAATGACCCATTTGTGTGTAAAAGTGCATATCTATTTAAACAAAGCCTCGCTAATTTCTCCCAGTGTTGGGGTGTAATGTTCCTTCAGAGGATCAAAGCTAACAGATTTGTTCCGTGTGGTTTGATCCTGAATGTGAAGCACTGAAATTTGAAATTTTCACGTAATTTCGAAGTACTTTTATTACTGGGAAAAACGTGCTGTTGCCATGGAGATTTTAAAATCACAATTATTAACCATATTGTATTGTCATATGTTTTGATAAATTCTAGTAATTTAGTCCTAAAATCGTGATCGTGAATGTGAAGCACTGAAATTTTCACGTAATTTCGAAGTACTTTTAGTCCTGGGAAAAGGTGTTGTTGCCATGGATATTTTAAAATCATAGTAAATAAACATATTGTATTGTCATATGTTTTGGATGAGTTCTTGTTCTTGTTCTTGTGTTCTTGTTGTTTTGGATGAATTTAGTCCTAAATATTCTTAATTAATCGTTAGTATGTAATTTTTTGGTGGGAAGTCAGAGTGTTGAGTTCTAATTATAAAATTTGTAAATTTGTAGTCGGATACTTCTTGTGTTATTTTTAATTCTTTTGTTGTATTTTGGAAAATAGCGAAAACAAAGTTTGTTTCGAGTTCATTGAATCGCATGAATCTGAATTCGATATAAATTTCTTCAATCTTTTACATTCTCGCTCATCATCACTGCGAAAGTTACTTCGTATATTCGAAAAAAATTTTATGAACCGTCAATTGATTGCAATTAAATTTCCAATGCTCCTCTTCATTCAATAATATCATTCAATGATATTATTTCAATATGATATAAATATTATTATTTGTAATGATATGAAATGATATTATTTCAATAATATCATTCATTCAATAATAGAATTTGGGTTTGCTACATTTGTTTTATTTAAATAATAACCGCACATTCTTATACTTTGAACTTAATGTATTGTATGGTAACCTGCAATAATTGATGCTTGAAACGGAATACCCGGGCCGGTCTTTCCGGAGAACCGGGACGGTTATTCCGGATAACCTGGCCGGTTATTCCGGATAACCTGGCCGGTTATTCCGGATAACCTGGCGGGTTATTCCGGATAACCGGGACGGTTATTGCGGATAACCTGGCCGGTTATCCTTGTTGACGAATGTTATTGTAGGTTAATTATTGAGACCTGTTATTGCTTATTGTTATTCAGTTACCGAGAAATTCATTATCATGAATAATTAATTATTGAAACCTGTTATTGCTTATTGTTATTCAGTTACCGAGAAATTCATTGTTATCAACAATTACCTTATTTCAGGCTGGGGGAGACCACTAACGGGGCTGAGGGTGTCTTGGGGGGCGGTGGGGGCGGAGGGTACTCAGAGGAGGTTACCCTCATCCTCACTGCGGACGACCTCGACATTAATAAGGGCAAGAAGCACAAGCTCACACCTGACTTTAAGGTCAGTTATATAGTGTTTAAGGGCAACTTTAAGGTCAGTTACATAGTGTTTAAGGGCAACTTTAAGGTCAGTTACATAGTGTTTAAGGGCAACTTTAAGGTCAGTTACATAGTGTTTAAGGGCAACTTTAAGGTCAGTTACATAGTGTTTAAGGGCAACTTTAAGGTCAGTTACATAGTGTTTAAGGGCAACTTTAAGGTCAGTTACATAGTGTTTAAGGGCAACTTTAAGGTCAGTTACATAGTGTTTAAGGGCAACTTTAAGGTCAGTTACATAGTGTTTAAGGGCAACTTTAAGGTCAGTTACATAGTGTTTAAGGGCAACTTTAAGGTCAGTTACATAGTGTTTAAGGGCAACTTTAAGGTCAGTTACATAGTGTTTAAGGGCAACTTTAAGGTCAGTTACATAGTGTTTAAGGGCAACTTTAAGGTCAGTTACATAGTGTTTAAGGGCAACTTTAAGGTCAGTTACATAGTGTTTAAGGGCAACTTTAAGGTCAGTTACATAGTGTTTAAGGGCAACTTTAAGGTCAGTTACATAGTGTTTAAGGGCAACTTTAAGGTCAGTTACATAGTGTTTAAGGGCAACTTTAAGGTCAGTTACATAGTGTTTAAGGGCAACTTTAAGGTCAGTTACATAGTGTTTAAGGGCAACTTTAAGGTCAGTTACATAGTGTTTAAGGGCAACTTTAAGGTCAGTTACATAGTGTTTAAGGGCAACTTTAAGGTCAGTTACATAGTGTTTAAGGGCAACTTTAAGNCCAGCTTCTGGTAACAAAATTTAGAGTCGCCCCAGCTTCTGGTACTCCAAATCAGAAGCTGCCGCGTCTGCAAATTTTTACTGGGTATACGGTGTTAAACATTCACTTTATTGAGAGGGATGGTGAAGAGGTGTATTGAGAGGGACGGTGAAGAGGTGTATAAAGAAGGATGGTGATGAAGAGGTGTACTGTGAAGGATGGTGAAGAGGTGTATTGTGAAGGATGGTGAAGAGGTGTACTGTGAAGGGTTGTATTATGGAGGATGGTGAAGGGTTGTATTGTGATGGATGGTNTATATTCGCTGACCCGAGCTTTACGAGTGACGTACCTATAGCTGTCTCTTATACACATCTAGATGTGTATAAGAGACAGGTTGTATATCGCACGTCTCAACCTTCGTCCCGGTTGTATCGCACGTCCCAACCCTGTCTCTTATACACATCTGGTGGAGCTCTTATGGGCTGTAACAATTCAGTGCGATAATTATATTATTAATGAAGAGATTATATAGTTATATTAATTATTACTTATTAATTATAATTAATATTACATTACAATAATGTAATATTAATTATATTAATTATTATATTATTATTAATGTTATATTAATGTAACAATAATTAATATTAATTATAATTATTGTGTTGCAGGTGGAGCTCGTATGGACCGTAAGCAAGCAGCAGCCATGTGGCCGCCCTATGACCTCAACCAACCACCAGCACCCGCCCTCCATAGGCAGACCAGGTAGACCCTGCTAGACCTCAGGGCCTAGCTCTGCTTTTTTAGCCCAATTATTGTGCTAGAAAATTACGCTTTTTTCTGGTCTTTATTAATAAAGTAGTCGGATTAGGCCATAGGTAGACCCTGCTAGACCTCAGGGTCTAGCTATGCTTTTTTAGCCCAATATAATTCTAGAAAATTACGTTTTTTCTAGTCAGTATTAATAAACTATTCGGATTAGGCCATAGGTAGACCCTGCTAGCCCTTAGGGTCTAGCACTGCTTTTTTAGCCCACTATTGTGCTAGACAATTAGGCTCTTTTTCTAGTCATTATTAATAAAGTAGTCGGTAGAAAATTAATTTTTTTTTCTAGTCATTAATAAAGTAGTTGGTAGAAAATTACGTTTTTTTTCTAGTCATTATTAATAAAGTAGTCGGTAGAAAATTACGTTTTTTTTCTAGTCATTAATAAAGTAGTCGGTAGAAAGTTATGTTTTTTTTCTAGTCAGTATTAATAAACTAGTCGGATTTTTTCGCATCATTTATAGAGTAGCATTTTGTTTAAAGAGCTATTAATAATATTTTTTTTGGTGGGTGATTGAGTCGTTTATGAGAAGCTTGACTGATATTATTTGACGTATAAACGTTAGTAGTATCATTAGTTGCTGTAGCGCAGTGGTAGGTATATTATTTAACGTATAAATGTTAGTAGTATCATTAGTTACTGTAGCGCAGTGATTACTGACACGGCGATGTTTGTGCTGACACCACGATGTTTGTGCTGACACGGCGATGTTTGTGCTGACGACGATGTTTGTGCTGACACGACGATGTTTGTGCTGACACGGCGATGTTTGTGCTGACACGACGATGTTTGTGCTGACGATGTTTGTGCTGACACGACGATGTTTGTGCTGACACGACGATGTTTGTGCTGACACGACGATGTTTGTGCTGACACGACGATGTTTGTGCTGACGATGTTTGTGCTGACGATGTTTGTGCTGACGATGTTTGTGCTGACGATGTTTGTGCTGACGATGTTTGTGCTGACGATGTTTGTGCTGACGATGTTTGTACTGCCGATGTTTGTGCTGACGATGTTTGTGCCGACGATGTTTGTGCTGACAATGTTTGTGCTGACGATGTTTGTGCTGACGATGTTTTTGCCGTAGTCTCGACGACGGACAGCTTCACGCCGAGCTCGGACGATGTTTGTGCTGACGACGATGTTTGTGCTGACGACGATGTTTGTGCTGACGATTTTTGTACTGACGATGTTTGTGCTGACGATGTTTGTGCCGTAGTCTCTACGACGGACAGCTCTACGCCGAGCTCGGTGACGCCCGGGGACTCTGAGGACGAAGAGGACGAGGAGTCCGAGGAGGACGAGGACCATGAGAACAGCGACTGGGACTCGGGTGAGTGCCTTCATTGCCTTCACTGCTACCTTCCCTGCCTTCATTGCTGCCTTCACTGCTGTTGCTGCTGCTACTGCCTTAACTGCTGCTGTTGCCTTCACTGCTGCTGCTGCTGCTGCCTTCGTCACGGCCTTCGTCGCGGCTTTCCCGATGTTTTTCTTTCCTGTCTTTCCGATGCTTTCTCTTACTGCCTTCTGCAATTTTCTCTTTCTGCAGCCTTAAGGCCCTGGTTGAAGGTCGCGAGGCGTCGAACAGGCTCGGCTCTTCCCTAAGCGTTTCTTCACTAATTAGAATAGACTTTACTCCACTCGTAAATGAGATGGCGATATGGATTTTTCCTATACTTACCCAGCTATTTATTTATAAGCGGCGACCAGTAACAAAAAATATGTAAACTTTGTATTAAAAGAGTTTTAATGAGAGGAAATTTCAAGAAACTTTGAATATTATTGTTCATCAAGTCTGCGACTTTTTTACTTTTTTCGAGATGTCAAAAGGTTGTAATTTTTATTTTCCATTGAATGGTATACTCGGCATTCCTTGATGAGCCTCCTTGTTGTAAATATTCTTTCTCAAAAAATAGTTATGATCGAGCCTGCTGATACGCGGAGGGAAAACCCCGCATACTAGCTGCTCAAATGGAGGCGTTGAGGAAAGTTTGTGGGGATAGAGTAAATTACTCGACTGTCAGTTCACGACGGGCGGCATGATACCGGGAACTCAATGAGAGGCGAAGAATAATACGTGGATACACTGTTAGAAAAATTGCCGTTAACGGTATTATACCGGCGTTTCAGTGGCCGGTCAGCACGTGAAAGAAACACCGTGTCGCCGTTTTTATTCTAATTTAACGCTAGAAATCCGTAAAACATCTGATAAAAACGGCGAAACAGTTTATTTTCACGGGGCCACCGGCCACTAGAACGCCAGTGGGACCGTTTTNGGGACATTTTGATACATTTACTACGGGACATTTTTATACATTTACTACGGGACATTTTTCATACCTTTACTACGGGACATTTTTATACATTTACTGCGGGACATTTTTATACATTTACTACGGGACATTTTTAAACATTTACTACGGGACATTTTGATACATTTACTACGGGACATTTTGATACATTTACTACGGGACATTGCGACATGTTGACTACAGGATGTTTCAAGTTATTTATTACGGGCCACTGCGATATATACATATACTAAGGGACATTGCAAGTTAATGAACTTATTACGTTACATCTCGAGATATTTATTACGGGACGTAGGCCGAAAATTCACACCATTTCTATGAATATATAACTTATTGATATCAGATAAATTAATAAGATTATCGTACGAGCTACAGTGAGAGTATCGGGTACGTAGCGGCATTTGAGTTGTATGAGATTGAGCGTGTTAAAAGGTTATAAATTATTAATATATTAATTAAGAGATAATAAAGTGTTATTAGACTAAATAACATTGATGGTTATAGAGATGTGGCATCCTCAGGTCTGTGGCTCGCCAAAATCTCTTTTTATCTCCAAGATTTTTTTCTTAACTGATATGTTATGAACAAATATTTCTTTTCGCTACACTGAAAACTATTTCATCGGCAGGAGCTCAAGATGTTACTATAGTACATCTTACGGTCCGGGAAGTTGTTTTAATATTTTGTTAGGTTTTTAACGAGTAACGTTAACAGTAATAAATGTTTGTATAAATAACTATTATTAAGCATTATAACATAAAACGTAACTCATGTTACTCTCCCTCCCCCCATGCTGCCTCATTGGACCTCGTCTTTCGTCACCGGTCGTATATTACATACATTTATTATTTATTTATATTACGTTCCTTTAACATTCATTTATATTCTTGTAACATTATTCTTGTCTATATTAACTACATTTATTATTTATTTATATTACGTTCGTTTAACATTCATTTATAATTTTTTCACCGTTTTTTTCTAACAGTGTAGTTGTCGGCCTAGTCCAATTAGTTATAGCCGACCGTTGGCCATTCCTCGGCCACCTGAAAGCGACCAGTTGCCGCAAAGAAGGGTCTGGCTAGGATATCATATTACAAAGAGTTCAAGCTCGAGGGTAGCGACTGCCCGAGCTTTGGGCAGATCAAGGATTTTACACGATGGTCGCGAAAACCTCGCTCTCAGACTTCGCACGGCTTTCAATCAGGGTCTTAAGACCTTCTCTTCCTGCAGCCTTCTCTTCGTGCCTTCTCTTCGTGCAGCCTTCTCTTCCTGCCTACTCTTCCTGCACTCTTCTCTCCCTGCAGCCTTCTTTTCGTGCAGCCTTCTCTTATTACAGCCTTCTCTTCGTCTTCTCTAGCTGCTTCTCTCTATTTCTTCCCTCTCTGTATTTCTTCCCTCTTGCTATTCTATTCAACTTATTTTACAGCCTCATTCTTCCCATACTGCCTCTCCTCGCCTCCTTTATCTCACATTCTCTAATGCCAATTTTTAAAGTAAAATTATCGTCGATGCGGTTTACTTCATTGCGCTTTGCTGCCTTCATGCAAAATTTTCAGAGCAAAAATATGACATTGTTCAGAGACGTTCTTAATTATAATTAATATATACTGTGCACGTACGTAATCTTTAAATTTCTATGTTGAATATTCTACGGGTTATTGATCGATTTATTCTACATATTTATTATAGCTTATTTCGAGACATTTACTACGGGAATATTTGAGATATATATTAATTACGGGGAAGTGGCTAGATTTTTATTTCGAGACATGGCGATATATTAATTGTGGAACATTTTTATGCATTTACTACGGGACATTTTGATACATTTACTACGGGACATTTTGATGCATTTACTACGGGACATTTTGATACCTTTACTACGGGACATTTTGATGCATTTACTACGGGACATTTTTATACCTTTACTACGGGACATTTTGATACATTTACTACGGGACATTTCTATACATTTACTACGGGACATTTTTATACATTTACTACGGTACATTGTTATACATTTATTACGGGGCATTTTTATACATTTGGTATGGGACATTTTTATACATTTACCACGGGATATTTTGATACATTTACTACGGGACATTTTGATACGTTTACTACGGGACATTTTTATACATTCACTACGGGACATTTTGATACATTTACTACAGGACATTTTGATACATTTACTACGGGACATTTTGATACATTTGCTACGGGACATTTTGATACATTTACTACGGGACATTTTTATACATTTACTACGGGACATTTTTCATACCTTTACTACGGGACATTTTTATACATTTACTGCGGGACATTTTTATACATTTACTACGGGACATTTTTAAACATTTACTACGGGACATTTTGATACATTTACTACGGGACATTTTGATACATTTACTACGGGACATTTTGATANGTCTATATTACATACATTTAATATTTATTCATATTACGTTCATTTAACATTTTTTTTAACATTCATTTATATTCTTGTAACATTATTATTGGTTATATTACATACATTATTATTTACTTATATTACGTTCGTTTATCATTAATTTATATTCTTATAAGATTATTCTTGTCTATAATACATATATTTGTTATTTATTTATATTAAGTTCGTTTAACATTCATTTATATTTTTGTAACGTTATTATTGTCTATATTACATACATTTATTATTTATTTATATTACGTTCATTTAACATTCATTTATATTCTTGTAACATTATTATTGTCTATATTACATACATTTATTATTTATTTATATTACGTTTATTTGACATTCATTTATATTCAATACATTTTTTTATTATTTTAATCAAATACACTTGATGCTCGCTAAACAATTCTTGCTTTATTGCTTCGTTAACTTGAAAAATTTGTTCCAACGAAAAACTTTTCCGCATGTTATAAACCTCGTCCCGGTTGCACGTCTCAACCTTCGTCCCGGTTGTATATCGCACGTCTCAACCTTCGTCCCGGTTGTATATCGCACGTCTCAACCTTCGTCCCGGTTGTATATCGCTCCGAAGTTTCAACCTTGGTCTCTGCCGTACGTCGTAACCCTTGTCCCCGCCGTACGTCTCCCCGACGTTGTGCTTGCGTCGCTCAGACGTGCACTGCCCTGAGCGCTTCGTCGGACGATACCGACTCATGTCGGACAGTTCGTCGGCACCTGCTTCCTGCACCTGACACGCGGCCTCCTGCACCTGACACTCGGCCTCCTGCACCTGACACTCGGCCTCCTGCAGAGGCTGCAGCTGTAAAAGGACCGTGCAGCAGTGCTGAGGCTGAAGCTGAGCGGGAGCTGAGCAGTGTCGTTAGGGTGCCTCATCTCAGATGTCTAATGCAGATGCTGGCTCACTGCGTCTGCACAACACAACACCTCCATACTTGCCCTTCAACGAACCACAACTTCTCAAATCTACTTCCCTGTAGCACTAAACTGAACCACTACTGTGCTGTGCCACACCACATTTGTGTTGCACAACACCACACCTGCTCTGCGCAATACCACACCTACGCTGTGCAACACTCCACCTGTGCTGTGCAACACACCTGTGCTATGCACCACTTCTGCACTGTGCACCACAACTGCATTGAGCAGCACCACCGCAGCGGTTGCCTGCTCCCCCGGAGACGCGCTTCTTCACTTTGCCGCCTGCTGCTCTCGTCGCCTCTCAGTCGCCGCAAGGCTGGTCGCCAGGGGTCGCTGGGTGTCTTTGCTGGAGGATGTCAGCTACTCTTGGACCGCTATTTTAACCCTGATGGTCGTGCGTCTGCACAGGATTATCAGCACCAGTTCTGGCTATGGCGTCAGAACTCTCTTGTGGACAGGTGCACCCATGAATCTCTTCCCATCGATGACGACCGTACCGAGAACCATCGTCGTACCAGCAGTGAAAGCCGCACTAAGAATATACGTACCAGCGACGGCTTTCTTACTGAGGACGGCGTAAAACCAGACAGCAGAGAGTGGACTGCCATCCAGAACTACACG